TCTGGAGTCTGCTCACAACAAATTAAGATAGCTATGGAGAGCGTCTCCAAAGAAAACAGGCTAACTGGGAGTAGGAGTGAAAAGAGGGGTGAGAAAGACCCTTAGGGCAGGACCTGAAACAAGTTAGCTCCAGCATCTGTGCGCCCACTGAGGAGAGAAAATCTTCTCCATTCGGAAAAACGGAAAAGAGATGTAGAAGTACATGGAAGTTTCCACGCAGAAATCCCCTCCTGTGTCTTTTAACATGGGAGGGGACAGTTTGGCCCAGGTTTTAAAAATATTTTAAATCCCTTGGAACGCAGTTTTCCTTTCTGCTTTGTCACTTACAATTATAATTATAGGTGTTGCTACTGCTCTATCTATTGTTACACCAGACTAATACTTTCCATCATAGCCACAGTTTCCAGTTGCTTGTAACTTTGTCAAACCTTTAACTTTTAGGGGCTGAAATCTTCCATGCTCTTTCTCTGCCTCAGGTTGATTAGGAAATATCCCCAAAAGACCAGGTGCTTTCAAGGACAGTAACTAGTGACAAAGGCAGTTTTCCCTACCCAGTTGTGAGGATCACCACAAAGGTTTGGAGCAGGAAGTTGAAATTTGGCACAAAGACAATAGTGAGGCCAGAAAGGTCTTGCTGATGGGTTTTTTTGATTGAGTTGATGTAGGCTTGATGCACAAGGTACCCAAGCCTCCCTTTTCTGCATGCATGGTTGAGTTTGATCAACCACTCTGTTGCCGAAGCAGAGTGTGAGCTGGCCCAAGCTCAGGCACCTGCCACGCATATCCCAGGCCCTGGTGAGGCTGGCACTGCTCAGCAGTGACTGTATGAAGCCCTCTCCATAGCAGAGACAGACGGTGTGGTATGCACTATGCCAAAATCTCTTTTAGGCTGATGCTGTGGTCAGTCCTGCAGTGGTAGAGCAGCTCTGCATTCCCAAATCACCAGGTAGACACGTAACCATGTGAACGGCATTATTGCCATAACCCCTTGTCTCAAATTCAGGAGGATACACATCATTACAATTTTAGCAACTGGTGCTGTGGGCACAGCACGCTCGTGTTTTGAATTTCATGGATATCAGCTGTGCCTTGGTCTTTCCTGGTGCACAGTGGGATTGCAGGCCTGTTGCACAGCGAGTGCATTTGTGAATAGTTCCCTCAGAGGACTGGCCCTTCAGGACTAGGTCCCATTCCACAAAAAGCATATTGCCACTGACTGGGTGCACCTCACAGGACAAGACATGCCACAGCATTCATGGTTTTCCATGCTATCATCTCCCAAATGAATCTGGTGATCAGTTGGTGAACTGTGAAGGTACTTACCACACATGTTTTCCAGACCTTACAGCTAGCATTTCTCGGACAGGTCAGGGATGGAATAAGCCCTTTATACTTATTCTTTGGAGAAAAATGGAAACTGTAAGCTGGGCTTATTGTAGCTCAGAAAAGGAGCAGAAAGCACCAGGCAACCACCTCTCCACAGGATCATCCTTTGAGGAGCTATCAGCCAAGCCACCAGTGCAGAGCAGAAGTGGCCAAACGAATTCTGGCTCATACTGGCTCCATAATACTTCCTGAAAAATAACCTGACAAAGTATGCCAGCAAACATCTTACTATCACACGGCTGCAGCGTTTTCATCAGGTTCTAAGAGATCTGCAGTTCCTGTCATCTAATCTGCCTCCAGCCTAAGGGATAAATCCAAGAGACCAAACTCCCAAATCTCTGATTTCTTCAGGTTGCTTTGTGCCACTTATATATGAAGAGGTGGTAAGGCGGAAGAGAAAGGCTCAGGCAAAAGAAGTTCTTAATGTTGCTTCTTTATGCATGTACGTTTTGATACAGCATACATTTTTAAGTAGCATTTAAACAAGCAAGGATAAATATTCCCTTCACAAATGGGAATGCTCCAGACATGTAGGAGTGTATGCTCCATTGACTTTCAAGGAAACAAAGGCTCATGAGTGATAATATTATTTTTCGGAAAGGAGATCTAAGATCACTTAGATCTTAAAGTTTTATGCACAGGTTTTGACTACATGCGTGTATCATTAAAGCGTGCACAAAAATAACTTTATAAATGTGTACAAGCATCTGTTTAATGCACACACGTCGCATGCATTTAATTTGAAGGTGATTTTTGCATACTATCTGCTTCCTGCTCTGTTTATGATTAGGACCGAGCTAAGACACTGAACTGGAATTTCCTTGTCTTCAGCTTATTGTAACGTTCTTCTTAGGATAAATTCGACTGTTTATTCACACCTCAAAATTACAGAAGTACTTATCATAAATAGGAAAAATTATGCGCTTTCTGCTGTTTTCTAAAATTATCTACTTTTTTAAAGTTATGCTGAAAAATTGTTATTCCAAAACATATGCTTTCAAAATGAGGGCATTTTTTGCCAGGAAGAAATCTGCTGAGAAAACTCTGCTGTTTAACACCCAGAAGTGTAGATCTATACTCATCAACTGCATGAATTTTAAAGGAACTGTTTGGAGTGGTAGACTTAAACATATGCAAACTGGGACATCCTGTTGTTTACAGTTTTCCTGCCTCTCAGCATTCACTACATATGTAGTTCTGTTGTTTCCTCTCCTCTTGTATTGTCCTTTATTGGGAAAAACAGTAATTCATGATACTATTTTTGAAGATAATAGGTTTTAAAGTCTTTGAAGCTGGAATACTTTTTTTGTTCTATGTTTGACCAGCCTCAATAATACTACAGTTCATATCAAAGACTAGGCCTTTATGTCACGATTACATTACAAATACATAATAGGATAGACCAAGATACATATGAGAATTAAATGCATATCTCTGAACTCCAAAGAAAAATGTGATTTTTCCTTTAATACATTTTGAAGCCTCCTTTCGAATCAACATCAAGGAGACTGCACCACAGACACATACTCCAGATCTTACCCCTGTTTGTATATTACACAATTACCCTACCAAAAAACTGTTTTGCTTTGATTTTTATTTCTGGCCCTGTGCTTGCTTCTGCAGATCACAGTGATTCAAAACCTAGTGACCTTGGCTAATTTGTGAAGGTCAATTAACACTTAAGCAAAAGCATTCGAAAATCCCTCTACTGTTAACTTGCCAAAAGTAAAGCCGATGCTATAAAACACACATTAGGATTGGAGGAAAAAAATAAAAAAATAGAGAGAGAGAGCGAACTGATCTCCGTCCTGAGGAAGAGGAGAAGAAGACCAAGAGAAACAGAAGCAGGAAGAAAATGCCCCAAATGCCTAAGTAAGTGGTGAATTGTTTTGTTTTGTTTTTTCCTAGTCCTGGCAGACTTGTGTGGGAATCTAGGAATCAAAGAATACAGGAAAAAATAAAAGCTCTCTATTTGAAGTTGCTCAAAGATTAAAAAAAAAGACCATGCATGCAACAGTGGAGATGAGGTATGAATATAAAAAATGCTTTACCTTTTAGCCATGTGATCAATGTATTTAAAGGTATCAGAGGCCAAAGTATTTTATTATTGTTTAAGCTGCAGCAAAATACAAATGGATCTTCAATTAGAAAACAGAGATTCCTCAAATCCATCTCTATTTCTTCCAGTGACTCCAATGAGAGCAGTAATGCTTTAACAGAGACACACCCTGACCCCACTTCCCCACCACTTTTGGAAACCTAACCTTGAACTTTACTTTCTAAATGACGCTGACATTGTTCTACATGCTGATTTTGCCTCAGCTGAATCAGTAAAACCTTTAGGAACTGTTGGTTAAACTGAGCTATGTTATGAAGTAGCTAAGAATACGCTTGTGCCTCGTAGCTCCGCCAATGCCTTAGAGATCGTCCTTGTGTTGACCAGGTCAAATTCAAAGGTTTCAGCTGCTATAAGGGGACTTGGTAGGGGCAAAAATTCTCTGTAGCAGCTGGGCCGTAATTTGAATCGTTATCTGGAAAACAAAGACATTTATTTCAGGAGCCACTTTTACAAGCAAATCTCCCTGGATGACAAGTCCTTTATTATAACTAGTCACAAGCACACCCACTTTGGGAGTATATAAATGCTCTGAGACTGGTTAGAGCTGCCACTTATTCACATCGTATTTTGCAGTGGTTTAAAAACAAATGAGAGTTTCAAATTACACTAGTTGGATACCGTTTTTATGGGTAGTCAGAGTGGGCTAGAGGTAGACCCTGGAGAGAAAACACTTCAATGGAGGAAGTTGTGGTGAAGCATAATGTACCTTTGCCTTCCCCTCACCTTTTCATTTTTCTCTCAATAAGCAGAATTACTGAGGTCATTACATGCTACAAAGCAGAAAATCAGTTCACCCACACTCTCATATAGGAGCTGGTGCCTATGGGTTTCAATGCACTCCATGAAGGAAAGCAGAGCCCAGCATACCCACTTCATAAGCAAGAAAAGCGCAGCACAGACAATGAAGTGACTTTCCCAAAACCATGCAACAGTTTGGTGATAGAGATGGAAATAGAATCCAAGTCTCTTTACCCTATTTGAATACCTTTATCCTGACTGTGATTAAGCAAGCAAAGTGAAATGCAAAGGACAGGAGCTTGCAGTGACCGCTGTTCCTCATTAAGCTGTCCCGTTGTAATCGCCATTGAATTTGGTGCCTGACAACAGCAGCAATGGGAAGGATAAAGAAGCAAAGTACAGCTTGGGGACTCAGAGTAGATAGAAATGAAATAAAATAGCAAAAATGTGGCAACTTAAAGGCTCCCTGGGCTGAATTTCAATGCTGTCTGGGACTTCGGCACACTCCAGAAGGATCTGTCCTCCTTTCAGCTAGGAGGCCGAGAGTTAGAGGGGGGAGAAAAACCCGAACTGCAACATTGTCATTCACTCTAGCTGTATAACCTTGAAGGGAAAAGACACCAAAAGCTTCTTCACAAACCTGAAGACCACCGTCTGAACATAACATTCATAACCATGTTCAGTACTAAACCCGGTGTGCAGCAGTGTTTATATCATGAAAGTCTGAACAAAAGCAAGGAGGGGAATGACAGAATGAAACGTTTTCTGACAAAAGTGAGAGAGTAGGAGAGATCTTACATGCTTTGTTCGTGTGGCACATCCTCCTCCTCTTTTTGCTGTCTTTGGCAGTCCAGTTGAAGTGCTTGAAGCTGTTCTTTTAGCCCCAGTTGAACCGCTACCTAGTTCTTTTCACAGGAAACTTGGAAATGCCTAGATTTCACAAGAAAAAGAAAAACAAGATTTTCCACGTAATTCCATCATGAAAAAACTACTGACAGGGTTAATATTTTTTCATTTAAACGCTTAGGCAAAGCACTTGCCAATATGTAATTCAGTCTTATGGCACCATCTGCAGAAATGGTGATTGATTTTGAAATTATCTTTATTCTGAATTCTTTCTTATTGTTCAAAACTAACTATGTCTTGCCAAACAGAAAACAAAAAGTACGTTACTTTAGGTGCATAATATACAAGGTGCTGATGGGGCCATATATTAAAATTATATGCATATGACTGGCTCTCTCTCCTAAGACAACTAGACACAGTGCAGTCATCTTTTCCAGTGGGTTGGTGGTATCATTAATCCAGGCAACAATAACCGATGCTGACCTAAACTTGTTTTTTAAGCTCTAAGCTATAGCCATGAATTCCTCTTATTAACTTCCCCCTTTCAGTCTCTATGTTTTTTGTTCCAAAAGACCAAGCCAATCTCTAAGACATTTGTTCAAGGTAATAAAGCCATTGGCTGGCACAACTTAAGAACTAAGTCCTGCATTCTTATGAATTCTGTAATTCATTTGCAAGGACAAGAGCAGTCACGAAGCAGTAACTTAGCTCAAAATAGGTATGCAAATGTTGGCAGTACTGGATCACTGAGCCACTTGCTAGAGAATCATTTATATCTGCTTAAGCAAAACAGGGTTTACAGGAATTCAGACTGCTTTCTTAAATGTCTATTAGTATCTAGCCAGGACAAATTTCATTTCTTAACGAAAAGGGTCAAATTCTGCAATCCTCACTCCAAGAAATTAATGTGAATTTTGATTGGCTAAAAATGATAGCATTAAATCAAGAATGAGTGTGGTCACATAATCAAACAAGTCTCCAAAATAAATGTCAAGATCACGTTAAAAGCAGAAGAGTTATCTCAGGTACTTGCAGGCGGGAATGTAGCCCTCCCTGCATTAATACCAGAGCACGTAGGAGCCATTCCAGGTGAACAAGCTTTCTACAGAACTTGAATCAGAAAGCTTCGTCAAAGTGATGATTTTTTCTTCCTGAAAAGGCAATAGATGCCGTTCTGAAGCACCAAGTGTTGCAGTCAGTATGATGTAACACACTTGTCTGGCTGTGATCAGCTTTCAGAGATTTGAAGCCCATGTGCTACCAACAAAAAGCTGTACCACAGAAAATATTTAATCATGTTGAAGCATTTTCCCTATACAAGATTGTGTCTGGCTTTGAATCTTTTCCAACAGTGGTGTGAACTAGCAATAAACCCACTTGAAATAGCGGAGATTTAGCAGCATAAAACTGCAGTCTCTCTGCTTCTGATGGACTCATCTGTCAAAACAGAGGTCACCTCCCTTTGTCTGTCACTCCTGGGACCAACACAAATCTGTACTTGCTCTTGAGATGGAGCCTACAACTTTACTGGCTGAATCACTAATCAGATGATCAGAAAATTACGGATGTGGGTAGACGGCTACAGAAGAGACAGGCCAGACGTCAACAGCTTTGGAGCAAGTATCCCTTTATATAAATATTTTCCATAAAACTATCCTTCCCAAGCCTTCATTTTCACTCTCATGATATGGCATTCTACATAAATATCTCAGCAGGACCTGATTTTAACATGTTGGTGTCAGACTAGATAGAAAGTGGGAATGAGAAACACAACCAAAGCAATCTGAGGCTTTGTACTTTATTGTGCATTTGAACTTAATGATGAAAAATCTGCTACAGATTTTAGCATCAGTAAAGTAAAAGTATACCTAAATAACCAAACTGCTAAGAAAAAAGTAAATGTCGGTATATACCTGTCTTAAATGGAAGCATTTCAAAAAATGTTCTTTTTTGTAGGCATACTCCTTTGGTAGTTTAATTGTTTATGTAAACTGTTTACATATCGGTGTGGTTTTGCTTCTCTCTCAATATTTTTTCTGCAGCATAGATGTATCTGTATGAAATCTATGCATCACATAAAAACTAAAGCTGGAACATATGTGCCTGATAAACAGCCTGTTACAATCTTATTGTATTTCAAGATCGCTCCACTTGGATTTACAATTTGTTTTATGCTCTTTTGAAAATGTTTCAGTAAAACTGGGATTAATTTAATACACATTTTATCAAAATTGTTTGCAGTAAGGTATGACAAAATTACAAAGTACATACTGAAGCGCTGAGCTGCCTATAGGGTTTAGGGCAACCAAAAATAAAGCATATCGAACTATGATTTCCACAGATTTCCTGAATTCCTGGCCCCAGTAACCCTGTCTCAGATCAAGGTTAGCGTGAAAGGTCTTTTATACAATTCAGCCTTTCCTTAGACAATCTGATAGGTAGATCATTAAATTATTTCCATGCAGCCACTGTGTTCAAACAATAAAATTCTCAGTCCAGCTCGTTTTGTAAATATGCCATAGCTGTGCAAGGGCTCTCTGAGCTCATGTGATTGGATTGATGGCCCTCACTGGTCAAAAGAAAGGAAAATTATCCTCTGGGATTTTTTCCATCTGGTTTACATTGCTGTTCAAACTCTATGGATCAAAGAAAAAACATTTTCTCTTTCACTGGGTTATCTAACATGAGCCAAAATATTTTTGGGTCTGTTCAGTGGAAAAGCAAGAGAGCACCACTTTATGAAAACTGCCCCTATTTTTATTACTTTCAAGCCACTTTTAAAAGTCGTAACACGCAATAATAGGCATAGGCACCAGCCATAAGAGTGCAAACACAGGGAGGTGAACAATGAAATCATTGCTTAGTTTTTATTTTGTCCTTAGGAAAAATCTGTGGTACCCATTTCTAGAGAGATGCTTGCAAGGTTAGAGGCAAACATAAGCAACTTTTTGCCTACACAAATCAATAGCAGAGTTATCAAATCCTTCTAGCAGTTGTAAGGCTATCCAGCCTTTCGGGCTTAGGCTGAAATGCAGCAGCGCAGAGGAACCAGTTCAGTTGGATGTGCAGAGCTTTGACCTGGAGCCTTCAAAGGCAGACATGCTCTGCTCTCTTCCCCCTTTAAGCACTTTCTTCTCTTCTTTCTTAGCTTATGTATCCTTATGCCAACAGCTCATCTTCATCATAAGTTCTGACATTCACTTCTCATTAGCTGCTGCCTAACCATGCTGCCCGGTTAGCAGAGCTGGGGTAGAAACAGGAAAAAAAAAAGAGCCTTTTAAAGGAGAGAAACCAAAGAAAATATGGTGCACAAGGAACATGGACTATTGAAGGACCCTTTGGCATCCTGAACTTTCCAGGAATGCAACATACAACTAGAAAAGTTTTGACAGGAAAATGTTCCCCTCACAACATGGTATAGACTTATAAAAAACAAAAAAGCACTAAGTCACTATATTTTCATATCTATCATTTTTTTCTATCTCTAGGGCATTAGAGATGCATTTCACAGCTACAACTTCACAAATAGCCTTTGTCAAACTATGCTACAGAAAAAAGAAGAACGTCAGTTGAGTTGTCTAACGCTTTATTCTGGACCCTTTGAAGTCTTTTAGTCGAGTTAGTATTTTAATGGGGATCAGAGATCCAAAACGTTTTTAAACTTGCTGTATTTAAACTTAGAAGAAACATAAAGATTCATCAGACACACAGAACGCACTCATCAGACTACATCAGATCTTGGTGGGAAGACCCACAGACAGCAGGTAATACAGGCAATTGGTGTGCTGCTCTACTGAGTCTATGAACACACCAACCTTGCCACAAGTAAGGAGTGCACATGGGAGCAAACACAGATACGCAAAGTGTCCAGCCTTTGGAAAAAAAATGCTATATTTGCGAGAAAAAGAGCACTTTTACATTAATCTGAGAAAAGGAAGAGACTATACCTAAGAGCAGCCCAAAGCACATACATTCTGAATAAAAAAAAATTCAGCAATGGCAAGGAAAATTTATTTGAGTTCAAGAGCTAGCTACCTCCACCGACTGGAATATTATGTTGGACTCAGATGAGATTTTTGTTACAAACTGGACATGACTACACAGATTAAGGTAACATCTGAGTCTAAAATAAAGATTTTGAAGAGAAAATTGAGTCATGTGGAATACAGATGGGTAAACTTTCAAGCATACGCAGGGCAGATTATTCCTATCACCGTGTGCAATGTGTGAGATATAAAGAGAAAGCAAAATCTGGAGCAAAAGTTTATTACTGTCTGAGGAAACAGAATATCTGTTCTTTGGTTGAAAATGTATCAGAGCTGAGGTTTCATTTAAAGACTTTATACTGTGCAGGAACAGAAAATGTTGAAAATGGAAAATATTTCTGTAAAGAAAAAGAGTGCTCCTCTGCATGAAAGCTACCATGCTGTAATTGTGGGCTGCCATCGAGAGGGTGGGCCAGCTCCTTTCTCATCCCCCTTTGGGGTCAGAGTCTCCTCCATCCTCTCCTGCATTAGTCAAGCTGTACGGGTGAGTCTGTCCCGGTTGCTCATCTTGTAGAGAGCTCCTCCTTGCTGTCCCGGGGCAGTTTGGGGCTGAATCGGTTCATTGAACCAATTCCTACCTTGGCCTGCCATTTCCCAGCCATTCGCTCCAACCATGCTGAGCACAACAGGGAACGGAGGGCAAGCACGACTGCCTCTTTCGGCAGCCTACAGTTAGACCGAGTTAGACATGATGTAAAACTGCAAGCAAGTAGAGAAGTATCATAGATGCTCCATTACTGTTTGTTTTTTTTTTTTTTAACTAAGAAGACTTCATACCCTGGGAATTATAGTCAAGCTGTCTTATGGAAAAGAGTGTCAATGCTGTTAAAATGACATTTTGAAACCCTGATAAATTAAGTTTGCCTAGCTAGAGCATATTAACGTGCAAGGCGACACACTTGGGACTATCACCTGTTGAAATCCTCCACAGTAAAAAACTTAGAAATAGGCCACTAATGCTAAAAGCAAGGGTATTCTAAATTCTTACTATGAGAAGGTGAGACAAAAAATTAAAGTGTAACAGGCATAGGCCTGTACACATATATAGTACCAAAAACAGTCCCAGAGGCATCTGTCTCTAACACAGCTGCTTTTGTGAGTTGATTGCTAGGGTCTTCAATACAATTCAGAGCTCTGAGCTTTAACCTCTGAACGGCCCCAGTTTTAGCTTCCGAAAAGTATGATGGGAATTGGAGCAGCTTTTGGGAGCAAAATAATTAAGGGCTTAAGTCAGAGAGGTTTTGCAGAACAAAAGCCCACTTAAAACAGGTGAGATTAAGATGGAAGTCAGTGTGGCATTGAAGGCTTCAGATGAGTAACAAACACAGAGCCAGCATTTAATCTCCGTGTGTTAGCGAGAGGAGCAGAGAAGCATATTGTGAGAGGCCTCAGGCTTTTGCAAGTCCCAAAGCATGCACATATTATCTTATTACTTACTAAAAAGAAAAGAAAATCAAATCAAAAGCAACAAGGAATCTAGAGAGAAAGGGCAGGTCACTGGCACCAGGAGCACGGGCTAATTTCTACAGGAACTCCACAAGTCCCAGCTGAGAGAGGGAGTGAGCCAAAGGAGGAAAAAATATATCTAAGAACAGGAGCAAGGCTTCAGGGAATGAAGGTGAAACTCAGAAAATCTAGCACACCCCTTCAGTGTTTTCCAAATGAGCATAATCACAATCACTTTGGTGTGTGATGTTTCTTTCAGATCTGGAAAGAATAGGATCTGGTAAGTAAAGTGAAATGGAGCTCCTCACAAAGTGCAGGATTTGGAGAACTCCAGGATTTAGAATCACTGATAATACATTTAATGTAACCTCTTTCGTTGCTTATGTAACAGCAAGAAACAGATTAAACTTTAATGTACTTATTAGCCATGCATATGATTAAAACAAAAATCTTTCAGCTGATTATGAATTGTTTACAGAGACTTTTAATTACCTGATATATCAGTTTGAGACATGCCAGCAACTATGTAGCCTGTTTCCTGGCTGGATGGGCACAGCTTACAGTCGGAAAGGATGGCTTAGGCAGCTTGATTCTGTAGCAGAAAGTTGGCTTGTAAAGGGAGGCAGAAGATTAGAAAGAATTAGAAATTTTAGACATGTAAACTTTTCTTGTGAGGGCAGTTTACATTGCCCAATATGTTCTTTTCTAAAAAATCAGCCTTATTGGCTAGAAGCCCAATTTTCTTATCACATTCATGGACAACAGTTGTGAGCAGAGAAATTAGACATAGAAAATGAGGAGCAGTCCTCGTTGAATTTTATATCACTGGTGATATGAGGAAGAATCAAAAAGCATCCTATTCCATGAAATAAATATCACTGCCAACTTATTGCAAATACTGTGTGGACAAGATCCTCAGCAGATGTGTGACTATATAGTGTTACGGACTTAGGTAGTAACAAGATGACTTACTCTGGGTAGAGCAAAGTCTTGAGTCTTTACTGTTAGCAATATTTACTTCTGTGGGTTTGCAGCGATAATGCTCAGATTGCTGAACCCTTTCCAGATAGCAAAACAAGGGGCTAAGGATGTTGTTTTTTAAGTAAAATGAATGTTTGCCCTCCAAAAATAGAAGTGTTGTGTAGAATACAAGCTTGCTTCCTGTTTTGGCTACCAGGAACATCTTATTCTTCTCCAACCCCTCACTCCCTAGTTTTCCTCTCCACCGACTCACAGGACAGAAAGGAGCGCAGAATACCGATGCCCCTACAGAAGCTCTACATACGGCTGGGCAAGGATGGATTCCTGCATTTTTTGGACGGGCAGCCCGCCTGCTGAGATAACGTTCTGTTTTCTCCTGTGGAGGAATTAAATCTGGCATATTCAGTGGTTGTTAGCAAGCACATATGGCGTCCCTGCCCCAGAGAAAGAGTTTTTTGCGGCATTACACTGCCCGTCTTCAGATGGCCCCGACCCCCTGGTAACTTAGGCAAACTGCTCCGGCAGCGGCCACCACGGTGTCTCGGCAGATGGGCTCACACGTTGTCATCCACGCAGCCATGTGGGCTCACACCGCAGGTGACCAGACCAACGAGCCGCTCCACCGGAGAGGCCGGATTTGTGACTAAGGGGAAAAGGCTGCTTTCACTTCTTCAAAGCTGAAGGAGGAGGAGGAAAGAGCTATTTTTAGAGCTGACAATTGCTGCGTGGGAGAAGTGTCACTGTCACCCGCGGTGCCGTGGCACAGAGCGGGTCTCTGTGAGGGGGAGCGATATGACCCTGTTCGAAGAGGGTTTTCCCTTGGCTACCCACCTGATTACAGCAAGACTCTGTGCATGAGCAGGGGGCCGTTTTGTGGCTTCAGAGAAGAAAGGGCTGCCAGGAGCTCAGCATTTCCTCCTCCAAAGCGGGCTCAAGGGAATGCCTTCCCCTAATGGCTGCGGGAACTGGCCGCGTGAGCATGCCCGGACTGCTGGAGATTTTGTGTTTTATAAGAGCTCAAGTGGCCCCTGCACTGAGGCAATTTCAGCCATCCAGACCAAGAGAGAAGGCTATTTTTGTGAATCGTTAAAAGCTGTGCATGGGTTGGAGTTTGCAGTTTTCGCCTGTACCCGGCTGCTGCTCAGCACAGTGAGGTAATCCCTATCCTTGCTAGGTTAGGCACGTTCTCCCAAACCATAGAGCAGTCCTGGCACCAGCACAGTTTAATGCATACCTACACAGGCCAGATGTTTGCATTTTATGGCCGATGATAATAAAGGCATGAGGCCCACTGACTGCAAGCAATAGTACTTGAGTATCTCCAACCAGATTTGGAGGGTGTCTTCAGCAGACATTCGAGATGCTTGTGGTAGTTTTCTGTTGGGTTCTGAAGACAAAAACTTTTCCTCAGAGGATCTATTGATCAATCCCAAACAGCTATTTTGTTCTTCCACCTTAAGATGACCTCCATATCTTGCTGAAGAAAGAGGGATTTTTCCCTTTGGAAAAATTCAATAGAGGCAGTTAACCTCAGCCACATGTATCTACATTACTAATATATTTTTACTACATTATTGAAACCTGGTGGATTAGAAAGTCTGCTGCATAAACTACAGTTTGCAATTCTTTGCCAGAGGCTCAAGAGGTTACTAATTTTAACTAATCATCATCCAATCTCATCCTTATTGGCTATACTCATTTTCAAGGGATAAATTCCCCACAGCTCTCAGGGTTCTAGTTTCTGTGGTTTTTCTTTTTTAAAAACAGAATTACATGATTACATAATGCAGAAACACTTTCAACTCATTACTATTATTAAAAAGCAAATAAAAATCTCAAGTTTAATTTACTCAGAGTCAGTGCTTTGGGAAAGAGCCTAGTAACGGAAAAGCGATGCAAGAAAATCCCCTTTGGGCCTTAGAGCATGACTCAAAAACCACGGGAAATTATTCCCAATGTAAAGTGACACCTGCTGCCCTCCAACACCTCCCTGTTATACAGCGGTCGCAGGCAAGTCCGGCAGCAAGTTCAGGATCACCTCAGTGAGCGGGGCCAAGCAGAGAAACCACAGCAGGAAAAAAGCCCATGAAAACTCCTCCAGTCAACGGACCATGCGGTGGTACCTTGAGACTCTCATTTCACTCCAGTGTTTGGATCTAAAGAGCAGCCCTGCTGAAAACAGAATAAAACCACCAGCAAAGCTAATACCTTAAAAGAAGGAAGAGATTTACACCAACCTGAATGGGGAGTTCTGATTCCTCCTTCCCACAGGACAGACTCTTAACTTGCTTGATGAAAAATGTGGTTTGCCAAGATCCTTTGGCCATGTAGACGTTATGCTCGAACACCCTGCACATGCAATTTCTATGGCGCGAGCTGTATGTGCTACCAGGGGTGGGATTCACGAAGGTGAACCAATATATTAACCAGTTCATCACCTCCATTTTCAGCACAACCTTGGATTGCTTTCTTGTTCTTTTCTATATTATACATGATCGTGCATGTATAGCATGCATGTATATTATACATGCTCATGCATGATCATAGGATTTCTCGACTATAAAGAGTTGTTTTGCTATTTTTTTTTAAGGTATATGGGAGAAATTTCGAGAAGCTATTGCTTTTTGAAGTTCTTTCCTAGCTCATGAAAATGAAGCAGGAAAAAAGGAAGGAAAGAAGGAAGGAAGGAAAGAAGGAAGGAAGGAAAGAAGGAAGGAAGGAAAGAAGGAAGGAAGGAAAGAAGGAAGGAAGGAAAGAAGGAAGGAAGGAAGGAATAAATCAGCTACAGTAACCTCCTCCTCCAGCTATTTTCAGATCCTCCATAATACGGAAGAGGTTAGCGTGGCTCTAGACTATCTGAAAAAAAAGTACCTGTTAGCCAGTCTGAATTATAAACTGAAGGTATTTTAGATACAATACAGTTGATGAGTGGTTGTATATCCAAAAAGATGATTTTGTCAAGGATTTTTCAGCTAAAATAATTCCCACTATATGAAACCTCCCTCCTTTTTTTCTTTTATCCGTGGGAAAACAGAAAAGAAAAAGCTTACAGGTAGGCCAACTTAAATCCTACGTCTCTGAACTGTTGAATCAAACTGTTTTTTCTATTTTGAAGCTGGGGGAGCTGCAGTTTCAGGCAGTAGTTCCCCTTTTACTCCAATGCATTTTACTGAATTGCTGGTATATATTTCCCAAAAAAAACAGTGGGATTTCTTCTGTGGTCAGATCAAGACTGTGTATCATGGGGATTTTGATCATAGGTTAGCATAAGAAATGCAGTTCAGCCAAGGAGCAATACTCAGAGAGAACTGAAGCATGAGATTGTTAAACTACAAATCCCAGAAGGCGCCACAACAGCAGCAGGGACATGTGCCGATTTTAACCTGAACTAGAACAAAATATTTCAACTCTCTGAAAGATCCTATTTTAAAATATTCTGATTGGCAACAACAAAAAAAATCATGTAAATTAACACTTTCCTTTCTAGTCTATGAAATAGAATTTCAGGCATTTCGCTGTAAATGAGGACATTTTTTCTTTTGAAATCATCTAGATTCTCCAATGGACAGACAGTCCAGTTCTCAGTGAGCTCTAATAAGGGCATTTCACCTCTCCCTGCCTGGACGAAGTGGTCGGATGATACCACCACATAGCTGGGAAGCTATTTTCTAGAGCAGCTGGACACCTCAGTTTACGTCATTTCAGGAAAAATGCACCTCTTATCCTGCTAGGCAGGATTCAGTATTCACATACTGAATACTAGCAGTATGGCATTTAAAAGCAGAAACAGAACAAATTTTAAGGAATAATGAAAAGAAGTCATAGAAGGCACAGAACACAATAACTGTAAACCAGCTACACCAGTAAAAAGCTGAATTCCCACTGCTCAGAGAAGTTCTCTACTGAGGTTAAAACCAAGATCCTTACAGCTGCAGCCGAGAAAGAGCTGACACCACAGTGAGTCACAGTTTCCATGTCCTTAGCACACGCTGGCTAGCCACCCAAGCAACACGGCAACAGAATCCTAATTCTGTTAGGAAAAAGGCCGCTAAAAGAAGAGTTGTACAATAATCAAAATGGGCAGAGCGGGAATGCCTGGGCTTAGTTAACTCCTTGGTAGGGTGAATTTCACAGTCTGCCACTGAGACTGTCGTACTGTCCTCTGCATGGTCCTTAGCCAGTTCTTTGAAACCAAGAACTGACAATTATTCTTCCTGGCAGGAGGTTTGGTTGTGATGACTGCATGCATGGGAAAGATGTCATCAGAAGTCGTCAAACACAAGATATTTGCATCCTTACGAACCAGGAGACTGTGTCTGATCTCAGATTTCCTGCCACAACAGAAACGAGTGCAGAGCAGTAATACGGCTGACCATCTCCATAGGACTGGCCTACAAACAGAATTTCGGTATCTCAAGTTTCAAATCAGCTGAATTTACAGGATCATTAGGCTCAGTCTTTTACTTTAATTTCAATATAAAGTAGGCACAAAAGCTTCCAGCCTGGAGGCACTCTGACAAGTGCACAGCATGCAATGGTCTGGCTGAGCCAACACAAGAGTTGATTACTGGGGTTAGAAAACAGAAAGGGGCAAACTGACCAGCCACAGATGGAAGGAAAGGGGAGAAGGTTTTTGGACTTATTTCTTTTTGGGAGATACTGAGCAGGCACAAGCCACAAAGGTGTCCAGTTTGATTCTCAAGAAGAGCAGTAATAAAACTCCACAGATGAGCATGAAACAGGATTTCCTTCTCTTCTACAAAGCCTTTCTCCTCTCCACTATCTCCTTCATTTTAACCAAATGTAGCCTGAATAAAATTCTTTTGTGACCTGAATTGGATGGGAAGTTGAGACAGAGGTAGATATTCATATGACCTAACTTCTGAGACCTACCATAACTCTTCAAGGTTCTCTGCATATGTATGAGAGGGAGAGACAGAGGAACCTCCATAGGGTGTCAGTATACCTAAATAAAGCTCCTCCTATAAATCACCTTCTCAATAATTGAGAAACCGTCTCTGTCTCTCTCCACTAATAATGCTAAGGAGTCTAGTTCCTGACTTAGGACCATAATCAGTGCCAGAAGTTTGATGCTGTTAGTGATACCAGGTTGTCTCTTCTCTTTGTAGTGTTAGAGCTGTAGGGAAGACTGTTCTCTGATCTTCCCTAAGGGTCTCTCTCTGTTGCCAAACAGGAGAAAACACAGTTCTCATCTAGTTAGTGAAGGGATGCCAAGACATAGGTACCAGATACGCACACAGCAAACAACAGTTCTACAATGAAAGACAAGCTAAATATCAGTAAACATCACAGCCTTTTTCGCAGGGAATGACTCACTAAAAACAGCTTATAGGACCATACAAGCACAGGAACAGTTCTGTGAGTGACCACTGATACTTATCCCCTAGCTGGGATAATGTGTTGCCACTATGATACTAAAGCACTCAACATAAGGATAACAGCTAGCAATATACACACAAATAAAACAAAACCATCCTACCTTCTGCTAGAGGATCTATCACACTGCACCAGATGGTTGGCTGGCTGACAAGAGGTAGCCCATCTCAAACAGGCAAGATACTATAAGAAGAGGCAAAATCTGTAATAGCTTTTACTAGGCCAGTCTGATGCAGTGGGTGAGCTTTCTGGGTATGCATGCCCCTCTCCAGGTCTGAAATGGAAACAGCAAGTACCAGGCTAAGTACATACAGGAACAGTCAGGCTGAGCTACCTCTGCACTGTCTTACTGTTTATATGACGCTCCCTGATGAAAATTTCAGCCAAGAACCGATGGCAAAGTCAGACTGGTGTGTGTCACCTGTGGAGGTGGTACCTGCCCCTGCTTGCGCAGCTGTGGTTAGAGTGGGACCGTGTCTATATCTGTGAAGATAGTAGAAAGAAGTGAGCCAGTCAGTAGTGTTTAAGCCTAAAACAAAAGATAAAAGCCAAACAGAAACGGACTTCTCAAAACTTTTCTCTTTTGAACTGCCTTCCTCCTCAGGAGGAACAAAAGTTTTATCCTGACAACTGCGATGAGTGAAAAGCTCTGAAATACCTTTGTTGTTAAAATCTCTTATGTTAGAAAACCAGCTAATCTTTTTTCCCAGTTTTAGCCTACTTAGCCCTAAAATATTTAAACATAGGAGAAGAAAAAGGAAAAAGAAAAATAAGGTGGGGGGCTTTAAACTCCAGGAACATTTTTTTCTGCAGTGAACTCAGAGTGACTGAGGTTCCCAACAAAAGTTCAGCATGTAATATTTTCCACTGCTTACGGTTCCCTTCTGAACTTCCATTTTGTGGGAAAACACTTGGATCATTGCTGACCTGTCTCTGGAAAAGGCTCGCTGTGTATTTTGGTTTGGCTTCCTTCCATTTCTACTCCTCTAAGTCTGTTCCCCATTTCAACATCTCTTATTGCCACGTTCCCAAACATGTTACACAAGCCTAAAGAAGCAATTTATAGCAATATTCTTCAGCTGTGACCATACAAGCACTTTTCCCTTCTAACAAACCATTTTCTCCTAGGAGCCATAGTTATGTGGTTGCTTGCTCACTTGTTTACAGCATTTCACTAGATGTGATATTTAAGCAGGCAGATGACTTAAAGCAGTATAAGTCGGTTCTCTGCAGCAGCTTCCAGAGCAAAACCTGGGGCTGGAAATATTCTGTGAAGACCTTCCCAAAAGTGCTTGGAAGAGTGCTATATATGAATGTGTAACCTTCCTAGACCCAACCAAATTGTGCCAAACGCGCATACATAGATATTACTGCTTTGAGGTTTACTGCCTGAGGCAGCACCATCCCAGATGAGAATCTGCAAGCACTCCAGGAATGTAACCCATCTCCAAGTATAGGGCACTTTTGTAATACCAACAAATACAAGGCTATAAAAAAAGCCTTGTATATAACTTACCCTGAGACCAGAGTTACTCACAAACCACAAGTAGCACAAAGGCAGTCTCACCAAGTATACTGAAATTCACAATTTTTGCCTGAACTTGAAACCCCTATTCTGTTCAACTTTGACTTCTATGGGATACAGGCTGTCAGTTTGCCAGATCAGGGACCATGGTTTTCAGTATCTTTTGTCACAGAATTACATCAAGTTCAATGTTAACTTCTCTGGAAAAAAAAGGACTCCTATTATGCAAACTCAAAAACTAAGCCACAGCTAAGCCCTAATTTTTTGTCTGCTTCTCTACAGAATAAGAGCTTCTGATTCATAATA